GGGCAAGATTATTACTTAGTCGATAAAAATCCATCGGTCAGCACATCGATTACGAATTTTGGTGATGGAAAGATTATTACAGGGCTTTTTCGTCGCTGGTTCACAGGGTTGCATCGACGATGTGTTCGCCATTATTCTATTATGTCATTTAAGTAAACCGCCCTATGGTGCATAAATTGAGGTTTTTGATTGGTCGGGCGATTGACCTCGTGTTACATTTTGATTATACCGGATTAGATAAAAAACACAGTGTTAAGCGGTCAACAAATGACAAGTACTAGTAACTTAATTGATTTGCGTCAAGCTGGGTGGCCCGAATTCAAATATCAGTGCATGAACTCTGGAGGTCATTGCCCAATGTCACTCGTAATTCAAACGCGTGGTTAAAAAAAACTAATTATCATGAAAGCAATACATTACAAAGTTGAAATATTCAGAGCCGGTACAATATGGTAAACAAATTTGCGTAATTAGAAAAGCAGTGCACTAAATAAACGACATTTATATTCAAGTTGCGTAATTACAGTACCTTTGGATAGAATAACAATTTTACTAGATTGACACGCGGGGCACGAAAGAAAAAGGATGCTAAGGTAACATGCCAGTTCAGTGCATGACTTGAGGTCAAACTTCGGTCAACACACACTTGATGTCAGCATCGCCGCGCAACAAGTTTCGCAAAGAAGTACCTGAAGTTCAATTGCGTCCCAAAATGATGTCGCTGATCACTCAGTTGTTGCAGCGTGTGTTGTGTCATGTCCATGATGCACCCCGTTTCGACTTTGGCTTTTCCTTCTTAGTGCATGTTCTTGTTCACGTAAAATGCGACCTCTCACCAATGTATTGAAACTTTTATACTTTGCATGATTATATTTGGTCAACGCGAAACATTATTTTTGCTAAACATTTTCTGAGATCATTTTTATCAACGTAGGGTTATTTTTCCAGACAAGATGGGCTTCGTAATATCTGCCATAACATCGCCCGGGCGATGTCTAGAAAAATAAAAAAAGGCAATGCAGCCAGACGGCTACTTTGTAGCCACGTGTTCATTGTTTGTGTACAGAGTGAGCTTTGCCATTTCACTGTTTCATTTCAAGTGTAACATGGTGCATGGTCCTTGACGCAGTGCGTGTTCTATGCCCGACTATACGCCATGAATGTCGCTAGCCACGTGTCTCAGAGGCACTAAAAAAACGTCCTGTAATCGTGTTCATTGGAAAACAAAACAAATCACTAATAAATTTATGAAAACAGCTCCTTTTTGAATCGATCTAAAAGTACTCTTTTAAATCGATCTAAAAGTACTCTTTTAATTCGCTCACCAAAAACCAATAATTTCCGTTTTTACGCTATTATTTTGTGCACTTGAAAAAATAATTATTTTTACTACCGCGAATTAATTGAGTTTTTACGGTATTTGCATTACCATTTTATGTTCATCTTGCAATTCATATCTTCATCTTCCAAATCCTTGTCTATATGTATGTAATTAAATTTGGAATATTAATATTGATATGATCAAAAACGAAAAGTTGCTCCATTAGCAGCAGAGGTGTATCCATGGTCAAAATAAGTAATATTTGAATGATCCAGTGCTCAGTTAGTGTACCTGATTGTTTACATTTGGTTCTATTGGAGATGTGCTTCTAAGAGTGTAATTAGCCTTGGAGGAGACCGTTGACATAGTCCTTTATAAGTCATGCAATGTAAACTTCTTGTTTTGTACTTTTTGAATAAATCATCGAGACACACAAATAAAACACTAGCAATGCTATGACTATTATAATTGTTTTCATCTGAAACTCCATTGTTACAGCCGTTCTGAGAATTATTCGGACAGTCAGTTAGCAATATATCTTGGAACTTTGCAAAACGCTTGGGTCTTTTCCAATCTAGACTTGATGGCGCCGTGGTATTGGCACGCCCACAATTGAAATCATTCCATTATCTTGCAAGATGCGGGTAAAACGCTGTTTTCAAAACGACACGTGTTGGTTACCATATATTAACAGATTATATGTTGTATATGCATTCAAAGTGTTATTTTAAATTGTTATAACCATCTGAGTCTACCTGACATAGCGCAATTTACAAAACAACTCCTGAGTGTTGAGTACCCCAGGTATTAATGAACTCGTCGTTGGCGGGAAGGCTCAAGGTAAAGTTTCTTAGCGGGACGCGCTGCAGTTTCGCGACCGTTTTGGGGCCAAACTAAACGTTGTTTTTACATTACTGGTGCATTTTAGATTTTATACCGAGGTGGGAGAGTACGTCAGGGATACACAGACGGAAAACCCGATTATAACGGTTTGATGGACTTTTCGAAAATCAAGTGCCTTTCTTGATCGAATCACTTTTTTAACTGCAGTTTGAAAATGACGGTTTAACGACCGTTATTAGACCATTTTTGTAACAGGTACAATTGACTAAAATGAGCGAGGGGGTTGACATTTTCGACAGATTTAAGCAACACCCAACTTGTGATTTTCAAAATTACTGAAAATAATTAAAATATAATTATAAAAAATAAAGAATGGTTGCTGTAAACGCACGCTAGATAATACTTACAATTCACCAAGCCGACAACCCCTATGAAATAGTCATCCCAAACCACGTGTCTGTCACTCAAGTGGCACCGACAAGTCTAGATTGGGCAAAGACCAAAGTGTTTTGCAAAGTTGCAAGTCATTTTGCTAACTGACTGTCCGAATAATTCTCAGAACGGCTGTAAATCGTTCAGATTCTGATTTGCAACTTGCTGTGTCCATGATTTCAAATAAAAACTTCACGGCTGCAAAATTTTGCGATTTTCTCTGACTCTTGGAAATTCTTGACCACTTATTTGTTACAAAATTAAAACTGTTTTCAGTACTTTGTATGGAAATCTGCTTCAAAATGTCACTATTCTCAAAAGTTTGTCTTTCTTGAAATGTGTACAAGGACCTGCTCATTCTGGTTCTACTGTAAAATACTTTATTTTCACTTGGAATTTATTTTTGCTGAAGGAATGATTCAGTGAAAATAAAATTCAGTGAATATACGATACCTTTCTTCAGTATTTAAAAATAAATTGCAGAATCACAATGATTGTTTAATGAATAAGCGGCTCTCATATAAATCACATGCATATATTAATCAAATTTTTACTTATTCACGTTCAAGGTCACTACCATGGCGATGGAAATGACATGATGGTGGCTGCACAGAAAGTTGGAGAAGCCATGACGTCGTTGGTTTCCCGAGCAACAAGACAATGTAAGTTTTTAACCTAGCAGCTGAATGAATCATATACCTTCATGGTAGTTGGAGCTATTATGGTTAACAGTTCTGTCCGCGTGTTTATGTTTTGTGGTTGGTCAGAGGGTCTAAAATATGTGAAAATATGCATAAACTTGGCGATAAAAACTGGTAAAAATTAAGAAAATATAAAATTACTACAAACTCTTGGTATTTTGCTGAGTAAAATGTTCCAACAAATGCATGTAAATGCCAAAAAAGGTGATTAAAAAGAGAGATTATCCAATCTTGTTTCAATGAAACAATAATTTTGTGGTTTTCTCAAAGCATTAAGTCCTACTTTAGTGGCCATTTTGAATTGAAAATTGGTCAAAATAAATACAACTGTCTTCAGACTGTCAAATAGTCAATCTTGGGCGTAACATTTCATGTGTTAAAAGTATGTTGGCTGTGTCTATCAATAACTAGTTCTTTCAACCTAATATTATGAAGTTGTGGTAAAAAGTGCATTTCAAATGACTAATGGGTTAAATAGAATGACACTGAACATACTGAGATGGCGCCCTCTGGTGGTAAAACATAAAAATGTTTTGAGAGTGCCCTCTATCAGTGACCTTGTTATATACTTGTCCAATATGTTTGTTACATGTACCATAACGTCTAAGCGATTGTTCAAACAGAAAATCTAGAAATGGGGAGGGTGTGATTGAATGAAGTGAAGTGTCAATATTTTTACCATCTAAGTTTGTTCGATCATACCTCTTTTAAACAAAATATGACCATTCTGACTAGCAATAGAGTGTATGTAAGTGTACATGTATACAAATGTATATGCAGTGGGCAAGTTTACTTGCATGCATGTGCATTTTATTTTATCGTATATTACGTTGCTGAAAAACATTTAGATGATGAATATTGCAGTAAATTTACGATGAAAGTGAAGAGAACAACTACTGGATATTCCAAATTGTCATGACAATTGATGGATTACATTGATATTATTAATATTTAGTTGCCATGACAATGGTACATGCTTCTTTCACATGTTAATGTATGCTGACTGAACATGCTTGCATTAAAATCTTATCTTCAGATAGAAAGGTTTTAATCCTTTCAATGCCAACCTCAGGCACCATCCACAAATTTGTTCTGCTATTTTTCACATGAAATGTTTCAAAAATATCCAAATTTTTGATCAAAAACTAAAAGCAATGTCACATTTTGCCTGTTTGGTTCAAAATTATAATTGAATTCAGTGAAATTACAGAAAATGTGAACAATTTCACCAAAATGTAAGCAGGATAAATTGTGTGAAATAGACATAGATATGTAATTTGTTTTTAGGTTAATTATTAAAACTTTGCACACAATGTCTGCAGACTAATTATGCTGTCATTGTATTGTTTTTCATAGTATTCCTCATTTAGGATTTCGCACTCTGTAACTATGGGAACACATTGACCTGTAGTATGTGTTTAATGTCATTGTCATCTTGCTTACTTGATGCATACATCCATTTTTAGTTCCTTTTTGTTTTGAGTTTTGTTTGTCTGTGCAGCCATTTTTGTTTCAATTTTGAACTGTATTCAGCCTATCATACTTAAAGGGCCACCAGCTGTGTTTTTTTCAATTTTCTAATCCATGTGTTTTCTAATTTGGAACCAAAAACACATGTTGTATACAACTGTATTTAAATCAATCCGGTTCCCCAATAACTCGTATTATTATACATCTGTCACTCAACGCCATAAGTTACAGCGTGCCGTAATTTTTTGGTATTTCATCCTACCATATTAGGAAATGCAAATTCCAAACGTTGAACGATTACGCGTATAAGCGTCTTTTAATAATAAAAAAACAAACATGGCTGCCCCCAGGGTTTGACCGGACCCCACGCAAAAAAGTACCTGAAATCTGTTCTGAACATTTTGGATTTTGGCATTCCCATGATGTATTCCTGGAAGGAAAAGATGTATAATGATAAGGATGCTGCGAAGTATGCACTCAGACAGTCACATCGACCTTTGCAGTATCCTCGTAATAACTTGCAACTTGTATTAATTTATTTCGTATCTTTTTCAGATGCAGAATAAACGTACGCAAAGCAGTTTGAAGGATTCTTCATAGACATTATGTGATTTCATTTGGTCAGCATTAAGTGCAGGGATTTTCACTATGACTGGATTTTTATTATTTGTTTGAAGAATGTTCAATGCAAAGTTTTATTTAAATTATTATACACTTTTATTATGCATTGTATATCCAATGCCAAACTTATTGTTTAATCAAAATTATTATTGTATTCTATCAATCAAATTATTATATTTAACGTACCAGTAGAAACTGGTTCGCCTTTGAAGTTATTTTGAAATATATACAACATTCATCTGTGCGGGCGACATATTTCACACGTTGCCACCTTGACGATTGTTGCCCTTCAAGTTTGTAAGTTAAGTTTATTGTCTGAGAATCACCAATTGTTTAATTGATGCATATGATCCAAGACTTTTGAACATCACTCACATTTTATTATGTATATCTATTATTCTGTTGGTATTCTCAGGGACAGGGAATACACACATGGCCTTTGATTTATTTCCTATTTGTGTACATGAATTAATCCAAAGGAATTGCATTTTTATTGTTATTTCTAAGTTATTAAAATGTCAGTCATGCCACACCACGTTCGATATGGGGTTCATACCAATCGTTTTGCCATACTGTTTGATATGGGGCTCATACCACATATGAAATGTACGAGTAGAATACAATGAGTATGACACTTTAACCTTTTCACTCCCAGACTTCCTTGACTGAATTTTTCTGCACTTTTCTTATATTCTTCAATAATTCTGGAAATGAACCCTTAATTTTGGAGCCAACAGACAAAATTTGAATCAAACTTCAGTTTTACTCAAAAAAAATTGTCTTTTTTTGGTCTCATTATTCTGAAGGAAAATGCAGACTATAAACGAGACTATTTTGTAAATTTGTGATGAAAGGAAGGAACTGGTGGTGAAAAGGTTCAATTAATCTTTAATGTTTTCATATTTTCAATTTGAAGTATCTGTATGTTTATATCAGTACAACTTTGACAATGAAATCCCAAAGAAACAGTATCTGTATGTTTATATCAGTAAAACTTTGACAATGAAATCCCAAAGAAACAAAAAACAGCATTTTGTTTTCAAAAAAATATTTATATTTTAAGATTTTGAAAGGCTGAAACATTATGCAACTTTTTATTATCTCTATTAAATTTATATTAAAATGAACAGTTGTCACAACTGCTATCCCCCCCCCAAACATGACATAACTGTCTGCGTGAAGACAATCTGTCTAAACTATGGTTGCACAGACAAGTTAAATCTGATTTGTTGCATTGCATTCTGGGAGTATTTTCTCTGGATGGATGTACAGAAGACAGCTTGGTTCGGTGACTAAAATTATGCAAGATGGATAATCATTGCCATTCTATTGGTTGAATTAAGGTCAGTCATCTGCTGGTGCATTTGAAATGAGACCAAGTTAACATGCAAGGCAGCAGTTTTGAACATTTAAAGTAACAATAGCTGTAATTATCGGTATTTTTTTTTCCAATTAACAAAACATTTCTTATGGTGTTAGTGTCAATTGGTAAAGGACATTGAAAACAGCATGCAAGGGGAAAAAAGATGGCACCGGAATTGCGTCCAGGTCTCCAGAGTGATCTTTTGAAATCCAATTTTGTCAAGCGAATATCAAGAAGTGCAGTACAAGAAATATTGATAATGATGACCTCTTGTTTATATTACGTGTCCTTGCCACTTGGCTATTTTCAACGAAATGCCAACTCCTAGACAGTTATCGCATCGCATGTGATATTAGCCTCATGAAGTGCAACTGTGCTCATGCAATTGTCTAAAACAATATTTCGATAAGACTTGGTCTTGTTATATGTACAGCTATGGCTTTAAAGGGGCACTTCCAGTTAAGCCTAATCTCACAACAAATTTACTTTCTGGATTACAATTACAATGGATAACAAAAGATAGATTACTTTTGTAAACAACTTAAACAATAGTGTCCCATGATTCTTTGGTGCAATCCATGGGATTGAGCAGTTCCCCTTAAACTGACACATCTCCAATATTCCCATTGATTATTCAAGATCACCTATGCACCAAGTTTCATTGAAATTTGAGTGTCACTCGCCTATAAATTGGTAAATTTATGTAAATTAGGTAATGAGTAAACAAAAATTAACCCTAATCATGTGGCTTATCCCAGAGCACTCTTGTATCAAGTTGAAATCTGATTGGGTGAGAAAGCTAAAAATTTGGCTAATTAATATGCACAGATTTCAACCCAAAACTCACCAGGTCTGATCCCAGAGCATCTGATAATTGGTCGAGAAATCTGTGCAACAGAATCCCATCATGTGCTTCGCGCACTGGAGTAAACAAAATAAATATCCTGCCCAAACTTCGTACCCATTTCATTGAGATTACCAAAGGGTTTTAACCTAAACAAACGCGTCACCGACCTTCGAGGATGAACAAAAATTCACAACCGTCTAATTTACAAATTTAGTATGTCCGCTTCTAATTTCTCACGTCTACAATAACATTGATGGTGTAGGGGTATATTTAGTTCAGAGGATCTTGCCTCGCAAATTTGCAATGCACCTTTTAAGTCCACTTAACACAAACTGAATCATTTTATCAAAAAGCTAGATTTGGCATGTACATATTTGCTCCATTAGAAACAAAAATTTACGCGAAATGGAGACAACCCTGCAAAATACATCTACGATTCAGTATACAGCCAATGTGATTTTTGGATTACCGGTATATAGCAAATACGATACACCTTCATCGGGGGATAAGCTTCTAAAAGCACAAATACAGCATCAACGGACACTTAGATATTAAACTAGAAACACGACTAGTACACCAACCATTTTAATTCTGTTCAGACTGTTTTCTTTAATTTGACACAAGTATTTACATTTTGTATATCAAACAGCCATTGCTGTCAACAATATTGAAAGCAGTAGAACAGTCTCATTCTCTGTACAAAAAGGTCTCAACTGGGAGAGAAATAAATACAATATTCAAGTTGCAGTATCTGCCACACAGCCGAGAAAGCGGGATATATAGAGTGGTTAAATATACAAAAAAAAAGCTCGTCTCCTGATGTAAATGCTCTTCACTGTTGGCACATGAATTTTACCAACTTGTAATGGTGGTACCCCAAACAACATGCATTAAGCTTTTCAAAATATTAGTTATGAATTATTTCATATCCTCGAAAAAATGGGACACTGAGGAGACTGCAAGATCTTTACAACATCAATAGCAGCTTTGAAAAAAAAAAAAAAAAATCTGCATTCAGCTGCTTCGCAAAAAGCTGCAAGAATCAACAGATACTATGTACTGCTTACAGTAGAAACTTGGAACAAAAAAAAAATTAACTGTTCAGAATGCACTTCGAACAAAAAAATAATATAAACTGAAGTACAGGTAAGATATTGAATAACTGAAACCTCAATCCTATAGTTTTTTTTTGCATTTCGCTGTCACATTACTTGACTTCAGCACATTTTAAATGGATGGTCAAGTGAAATTACAAATATTATGAAGTCTTTTTGCACAAAGAATAGAAAAGCTTTGTAAAATTACAAACAAGCAGCTGATTTAAAAAAAAGAATTTAAATATTGCATTTTGTTTTTCTAATTGCTTTAACACGTGAAATGCATAGACGGCGATTGGGGGTTGGTTAGCAAATCATCAAAGTCGGTTTCATTTGTTAACTTGTATTTTTAGGTGGGGGGTCATCAGAAAATACTGTAATTAATCATACTTATAAATGCCAATATGCTAAGACTTGTATCGCAATGTCCAAAACAACTAAGACATTTGTGGTCATTGTACGAAAATAAAATGTTGTCACTTGATAAATATGGCCAGTCATCAAGTCGTGTGATGCTTTCCCTTCCCAATTGACTTCTCCACTTGTACTTTACTATTAGTGGCACACACAATAAGTGGTACTCAGAGGGTACTATCAAACAAAATATACATTTTACATTAGTTATTTTGCATAAACAATATAGACACATGTAAATAGAGGCGATTAACATATTCTATTGTTAGCAAATTAGCAACGCTATTTTCCCCGGCAATAACACTGCATTCAACACAAGCCCCCAAGATAAAAAGAAAAATGCGTGTTCTTTTTGAAAATTGAAATAAAACAGTAATAATAATAATAATAAAAACATTTGGTGGGTACAACCACCAAAATATTCAGATCTGAAGTTAATTGTAAATTATTACTGTATTTGCTCTATTAGTAGCAATGCAAATTTCAGTTGTGTGTCAAAAGACAAAAACCAGTAATTTCAACAATCAAGCTTGCAATAAATTCAATTTTTGGTTTAAGAGAGCTAATAGCGCAAATACAGTGAAGCTTTGAAAGGTCCACATCAGTTATATGAATGAAATTGTGAACAAATATAAACCAAAAAATAGCACTAAATCTATTTGTACACATTATGCAGGATTTCTCAAATTGGATGCCAAGTTATTCAAATCTAACCAACAGGCAACTCCAAAGAGGCTAAGCTCAGTAATAGATTAATTCACTTGCTTGATGTATACATTAGGCACCATGTACCTAAAGTAGTGTACTATAACAATTTGGCCTAAATTGTCTATAATTGTTTATCAATAGAAATGTATATGAAGAAAAATATTTATTACATCTATAAATAGAAATCAGTATGTTTTAAATTTCCAACTCTACACGATAAGTCTTCAGTTCCTTTCATCTAACCATAAAATACCCCTATCGAGGTAGCCATATCTCGTGCAGGTCGAAAAAAAACACTGCTCAATATGATCGTCCAATTTAGTACTATTACATGGAAAGACACTACAGAAGTACAAAAACCTAATTCAGACAAATCTAGGCATAAAAAACAGCTTCTGCAAAGTGGTTATTGTGTTATTTTGCAAAAAAACCCAGTAAATTGCAGCCAAAAGAATACAGATCAACAGACACTTGAAGCTGGAATTATGCAGAAAATTTTGAAACTGCATTCAAAATGCGCCTCTCTGGGAATTATTTCTGTTAAAACTCAGGTGGGATGAATCATGTTAATTCTCAACAAGTGCTCAACTTTGTTTTAAGATACAATATGGGTGGGGTGGGGTGGGGTGAGGGCCAAGACAGAATGACAGAACATTATATAGCTTCCATAACAGTTACTGTATATTGCATTGACTTCTAGCAAGAGCACAAGATTGATCAACTATATCCTGCTTTCTTTTTCTAATGTTGGTAAGTAAACATGGCGTGTTGGACATAGTACAAAATATTGTGTAAACAAATTATTGAACAAAAAAATATAATTCAGCAGTCGTACTAAATCCTCTTTCGGGTAAAACAATTGCTGAATAGTTGTCACCTGCGACAATCTTATTTCAGAACAAAGCATATACATAATGCTTACTCTCTACGAAGCACAGACAGTCGCTTCTCTATAATATTAAAGAATATAACTGTTCATGCAATGAGAATGATCCACAGGGTTACAAAACCCCATGGTAATTTTTTTTGTATTAAAGTTATCAATACAAAGAAATGATTACTGGCAATCTGTAATGAACACTGGCAAAAAGTATGAAAACGCACAGAAGACAGAAGAGAAAATCGAGACACTGTGTGGCAGACTGCAAAAGGCAAGCAAATTATAGTACAATACACACAACATTCAGTCTAATACAACATAAGGCAGTATGTGTATAGAATTTTCCTCACAAGTGTTTATGACCATACACTCATTCCAACTGTGCCATTCTCCCTTGCTGTCATGGCAACCATTCACACCTTCCCAATGCTCAGAATGTAATTTGTCAATTTCTGCTTCAGTTGCTGGTTTCCGTGGCAGTTCTTCCTCTTCTTCTTGTGTCACCTCTTCCAGAACTTTATCCCTTTCGACATCATCCTCATTCTCAAGTGTTTCTGGAATATTTCTCGTCTCTGAATAAATTTCAAGACTTTTTTTAATACTTTTCTCAAGCACTAAACCCTCAGAAGCAGAATGTATGTGTAATGTTTCACTTGTGGGCTGATCAACATTAATTGTTGGACTTGATTCACTGGCATGACTTGGTAATACTACATCTTTGCTCTCTGAGCTTTCGTCTGCAATACTGGCAACAGCACTAAATACATGCGATTGTTCATTTTCAACTAATTGTGAGCTAAGCACAGGGGCTGATTGGGACTTGATGATTTGAGAAGTTTTTGATGGGGTGGTTGTCACAGCACCCAATTTAGCATGTGGTAGTCTAGGAGAGAGTTCTTTCCTAGATTTTGGTGAACCACTTTTTGTACTTGGTATGACTGGAGTCCCTGGCTTTGATCCTGGTAAATCTGTTACTACTGGACTAGATTTGGATTTATCAATTTGAAAATTCTGAGACCCAGGCTTTGTTCTTGCACTAGGAACGTTAGGTGTCCCAGGTTTCAACCTCACACTTGGCAAATTTGGAGTTCCTGGTTTTAACCTTGTACTAGGCAAATTTGGTGTTCCCGGATTTAACCTAGCACTAGGTAAATTTGGTGTTCCCGGTTTTAACCTAGCACTAGGCAAATTTGGTGTTCCCGGTTTTAACCTAGCACTAGGCAAATTTGGTGTTCCCGGTTTCAACCTAGCACTAGGCAAATTTGGTGTTCCCGGTTTCAACCTAGCACTTGATAGATTGGGAGTTCCTGGTTTAGACTTTGTTACATTTCTTGAAAAGTTCCCAGCAGCATCTTTGTAATCACTTGGAAGTCCATTAACAAAATCAACAGCACTTGCTGATTTATGTAGACCTTCAGCAAACCGTTTTGCAGATGCAGCTCCATGAGAGCTTTCACCAAACTCATCAGCTCGCCGCTTCCTTCTATTAGCTGAATTTGTTTTCGCTAAAGCCTGACTTGTCGACGATCTCACATCAGGTTGTTTATTGCCTTCGGTTTTAGAAGAACTGATGTTACTGCCGTTAAGAGAGGAAGAGCTGGCACTCCTCGGCAATTTATTTGCATTAGCTTGCTGTGGAATGCATAATTTCTGCCACTGTCTGAGGAGTCGCCGACACCTCTTAGATAAATCATCATTGGTAGATTTTTTACGGATGTCATTTACCAATTTTCCGAGTCGGGTCTCCTGCAGATATACAATATCAATAAATACATGTGACTAGTCAGAATGTTGAAACTGAAAGCAGTTGAACTGAAAATAATATTCACATGTGAAGGCATCCAAGCTGTTATGACCCCAAGAGATGACCTGCTTTAAATCAAAGAAAGCTTAGAAAGAACTCCCATGTGCTGAGAGTATTGGAGACACAATAAATATAATTCAAAATTACTTGTACTTGATTGAGATTGTGATGGAAAAGCTGAAAACTAATTATGCAAATCAGAAAATTCATATGAACAGACTTGAGTGTAAAACTAATGAGGTCTGCACAATGTAACAGATCATTTATGTACCAAGTTTTATTGAAATGTGATTGGAACCAAAAAACAGTTATGAATTATTATGCTAATTAGGGAATTATTATGTACAGATTTTAACCCACAATTATGCAGGTCTGTCTATTGTCCTACAGCATCCATGTACAAAGTTTCATTGAAATGTGATGATTACAATGTAGTACTTGAGTATTAGTTATGCAAATTAGGTAATTAATATGCACAATTATTTACCCTAAAACTAATCAGGTCTCTGGATAGTCCTAAAGGATCTATGTACCAAGTTTCTTTGAAATGTGATGATTAGTACTTTGGAAAAGCTGAAAATTAAGTAATTATGCAAATAAGGTGATTAATATGCACAAATATTTATCCCAAAACAATCACTCTGCATTCATTCTCAATTCATTGAAATGTAATGCTTACTACTTGAAACATCAAAAGCTGAAAATTAATCATGCAAATTAGGTAATTAATATTATAATATTACCCTAAAAACTATCAGATCTGTGCAGTCTCTTATGACATCTATGTACCAAGTTTCATTGAAATGTGATGATTAGTATTTAAGATATCAGTGGAAAAACCGAAAATTGACTAATCATTATGCCAATTAGGTAATTAGTAATTAGGTAATTTTTACCAAAAACTAATCAAAAATAATTTAGATATCAGTGGAACAGTCATGAAACAGCTAAAAATGAGCTAATTATCGTGCAAATTTTGTAATTAATATGTATGGAATTTTACCGAAACCTAATCAAATCTGCGCATTGGTCCAGAGCATCTATGCACCAAGTTTCATCAAAAACTGATGTATGGTTCTTGAGATATCAGTGGAATAAACATACATGCATACACACACACACACACACACACACACACACACACACACACACACACACACACACACACACACACAGAAACTGCAAAGACTATTCTTATAAGCAACCAAAACAACATGCGCGAGTCTCATTATGACTTGATAAAGTATATTATATTAATTTCGCATATTCATGATGTATTGTTTTGTCTACATGAATTTACACATTTATAAATGTAAACCAAATTTAAATATAAATTTTAAAACAAGCACATAGTCTCCAATTCAGTTGAACTCTGAAATTAGCATTAAAAAAAATGAATACTTTTAGATAGGTCCCTTATCTCTAAGACTGCAAGATTCATTTTGCATGGCAAAATATTGATAACATTTTGTTGTTATTGGTATCTGAAATACAGAATCTAAATGCTTGCAAGGTTTGATCGGAAATTTTATAATAAATTTCATTGAAATAAAAAATGGTATCATTGAGGTAAGCATTTGATGGCCAAATATAAAGCCTTCAACTAATACGATTTAGTGTCATGGCCGCAAGTTTTTGTCTCATACCAGCATATACTATTAAAACTTTCGACTTTCACTGCTAGAATTTTTTGTGATTTGATGTTTGAATTGCGTTTTTAAGAAGAAAATTTTGCTTTAAAATTGTCACTGGAACAATATGTACAAATTGTTACAGGCTCATGAAAATCGGTCTTGTGAAAATAAAGCAATTTACAGAATATGACCAAGCATAATAACACCACCATGCTAGAAAATTACAAACTCACTGGGACAGGAAATATGATGGAATAAACGAAGACAACATTGTTATACAGTTATACCATTATTTGAATTGTTCTCACCTCTAAGGCCTCTTTGGTTATGGATGCAGGTGCTGATTCCAATACGGAGACTACCTCCACCACTCCAGCCATATCAACCACCTAATAATGGCAAAATATACAATTTTTTTTACAATTTACGGGCAAGATCAAGATGAGCTGCATGTCAGTGAGTCATTACAAAAATTGTTGAGGAACTGAAAAATTATGTGTATTTTTAATACAGTGTAGGACGCCAAACTAGCCTACAAGCAAGGCTTCACTTTTTACATACTTCCATTTTCTCTGGTAAATAAAATCTGCTAAATTAAATCTATGTGAACATGTAAAACAATAAAACTCATTTCCTTGACAAATTCATGAAATTAAAACACCATGAATATATTGTTCAAAAAATCAAAATTGTGGAAATATATGATTTTACAGTTGAAAATGGTTGAAAGTAATCATAGTCCTCAGTAATTAATTCAATATATTCTAAAGTTTTGGGCAATGTACACTTTATCAATGAATAGTCTGAATATACAATATTTATCAAACCTAGCAGCTTGCTCCAATTTTTTTGCAATAATATCAGTATATGTTAATAGCCTGAATTCTGTGTTTATTTTCCCAAATAGGCAATTTAGTTTACATATTTGGTTGACCCATGACAAAAAGTGGTTGTCCGGGACAACAGAACAACTGCCTATGTCAACCCCTGAACTTTATAACATCAAAATTTAATTACAGTTTAATTGAATTGAATCCGGTTAAATCAACTTAAATTTAATTGTAAGTTTGTAAGTCAAATTAAAATTTACAACATGCTATACAACAACTAAAAACTCAAATCTAACAACGCATTTCTCAAAATTAGAATTCAATATTAAATTTAAAATTGTAACAAAGTGGAGACTCATAAATTCACCTTGCGTTGTGTAAATCCACTGCAAACTATGTAATATTTGCCCTATCAAAGCTAATTATATATATTAAATGACATTGGACACAAAATACTCTCGATGGTTCTATAGTAAAAATCTGATCCCATACTTGACAGCATTGTAAATTATTTTTACTTTGGCCCGAGTTACATATTTGTTATCACTACTTGCTCCAAAAACTTGACCACAATGGTTCCACAGCCCTACTGAGAAAGCAGTTTAACACAAATTACAAAAATAGAACAGTACAAACTACATATCACATTTGGGGCATAATAGTTTATAACTTTGTATCAACATCCACTAAGACATTCCATTAATTATGCAGGTATACCCAGACAGAGAATAATGTGAATAATGCGAGTTATTTTATTTTAGACCAATTTAATGGTTTTCTAATTAGAACCTAATTTACTTCAGAGAACTTTATAACCAGACATATCAACAAAAGTGCATTTCCAAAAGTGTATATGATATAATGGTTCCTCTCGTCACCAATAAAGATTTTCCTGAACATCTGACTAAGACTATGGAGTCAATCGTCCAGATTTGCAGCACAACTGAACATGTGTACGCATCTTCCAGCTAACCAAGGCAACAAAGCCATTGCAGTTAGTCACCAAGTTTTATATAACCTATTCTTTCCAATGCCAACTCAATGATACAGTAACCCTATGACTTAAAACAAAAGTCCAAACAAAAATATAATGAAGCAAACTATAGTTTTCTTTCTGATAAATGTCATCTGCTTATTATGCAAATATGGTAGTTTATGATTGGTTTAATCTGGTTATTCCAAAAATAGGTCCTAGTTACACAAAATAGTCCCTCATTAGAAACCTGGTCTATGCCGCTGAGGATACGAGACATTTTTTGTGTGATCATTCCATTATTTCCCACTTTTGCTATTTTCAGAGATTCTTTGTTTTTTTTAATTTCTTAATGTTTTACTTTAAAAAAAAGAAGACTTGTAAGCAGATTTGGAATGTCTTTTATCAAATGTCCTCATTTACCATTCTGAGCTTCTGCTGAATCTTTGCCAGTCGCGAATTACTTGTAAATTACCAATTAATTATGTTAATTTCATCAATGACCAAGACAAAACAGCTGATTTAAATCTGTAAAATGGCTTTCATTTGTAAAGGAATTCAAAGTTACATTTTCAGCAACATTTGGTTGAAAAGCCTTTTGAGTAAATTGAGGCAAAAGTAATATAAAAGTTACAGCATTCGCAATCTACTGTGAAATGCTTTAATTTAACGAGAGATTAATTTTTGCAGTGAAAATTTCCCTGATGTAGTACAATACGAGTGAAAGTGACTTTCATGAAATTTTGTCATAAATAGCATACATTGCTTTACCATATTTTTTGTTACTAACCTGGAACATATCGCCATTTATTGACCAAGTTATTATTGTCTTGACTACAATAAATCTCATAAAGCAATGCTGCTTCATGCCTTCACTAAACAACTAGCCTAAGGAATTACATAGTGTTTGAATATCATTCAAATAAATTATGAAAATTTGTACTGTAAACAGATTAAAGATCAAGAGTAATGATATGCACAAACCAATCATGGTCACCAGAATTGCAAAAATATTCAAATAATGATTTTTTGATGAGCCCATCTTTCAATCATCGGAAAGAAATCTTGTGCGATTTTGGTGTCTGATACCTCAAGATGCTAAAAACTCGCCAACAAATCTATGAATCAATAATTTTTTACCATTTTTCTTGCATATTTCCTTATGTGTTAAAAGCTCTGAAGAGAGTACCGTACTGGACCGCATTAGCGCCCATGCCCTGTCAAGCGCCAATCCTTCACTTTTGCGCAATTTTGCCCACCCCTTTCAAAATGCCACTAATTTAAAACTTTGTCTTTGATCATTGCTTAACGAGTACTGGTAATCGTTTTTATATGATACAGCTTGGATATCGACCGCCATGAATCTGTTGTAACCGTGCGTAAACTACGACCTGTCAATAAAAGTAAAATGCGGTAAATATTTCATGCCATATTCAGTTTACCAGTCAAAAATTGCTAGTTACCAGTTTTTTGAAAAAAACATGCCGAATATTCGCCGAAATCAATCCAACAGATCGTACTT